CATACTTTCCATAAAGCTTATGATAGAAGAAAACTCACAGACATCAAACCCTCAGAAAGATAAGAGTTTCAAGTTTAGACTGCCATGGCTCTGATACCAAAATTACATACACATAATGGGTACAACCACGTACGAGGTTTTTGCAGGATCAAAGGGACCAAAGATAAATGTTTATGAACAAGGATGTATAAAAGGGGAAGGTTTATTGATCAGAACACTCAAAGGATTACAACAAAGACTCTAATGTTTTCCCTCACACTTGGCTTGGTTAACAACGCCTTCCCAAGCTTCTATTTATATTACAACCTCTAAGGAATATTACACAGCATATTCCTTTAGATCAGGAGATACTTCACATCCAGAGAGTGACAGAATCTTTGCTGCACTGGGAAGTTTGAAAGTGCATATGTTAGAGATGGGTTTTGTCCCTGAGACTCGGTTATGTTTAGCAAAAGTGGATGATGAAGAGGATAAAGAGGAACAGCTTCTTTTTAGAAGCAACAGGTTCGCCTTTGCTTGCGCGATCCTTGACTCAAAAGCTCGTTCTCCAAAATATGCGTATCTGTATTGATGGCCATAATACATTGAAGCTGATCTCTCTCATAACCGGCAGAGTGCTAGCACAGCGAGATGTGAAACGATTCCACTTTTACAAAAACGGTGTCTGCTCCTGCAAAGATTACTGGTGAGCTCTATGGTTTTTCGAAACCTATCATCTCCTCAACCTCAATAATGATTTACTCAGCTTGTTGGAGATATAAATGTTTTTTTGTTTCCAAGATCACATTAGTATGTATATCGGTTTGAAATAAGCTGAGTATTAACGTTCCAATATCGAATCAAAGAAACGAATACTCCAGAAAGAATATTGTCATTGTTGAGATAAACTTCAAATAAATTGCAAAGATATCTTATTTAAAGACAGAAGAAGATGAAATCATATAGGCTGCTACGTAAAACAATGGACTCAGCACCAAGTGGATACAGATCGTAAGCAGATGGAGAAGACGGCGAAACAGACATGAAGATAACGATGAGGTCCCCGGTCTCTGACGTTGGCTCGAATTGCAAGTCATCTCCGTACACATTAGGGCCTGAGATGCTCTGTTCTATCTCCGACTCTCCTTCGAGCATTTTCACAACTTCCGACATACTTGGGCTTAGTGTTGGAGACTTGTTTGTGCAAAGAAGCCCAACTTTGACCATTCTCTCTGCCTCAGCTAAATCTAACTTGCCTTCTAGCTTTGGGTTGTCTGCAAAATCCCCTTTCTTGTGCAGCAAGAAAGCCTATAACCGGAAAAAGAAACCGTAAAGCAGTGGGAAAAGAAGCTCATACTCGACATTGCACGAACCCCTAATCTGGTGACTGAGTAACCAATCGATAAGTCCAACACAAGAGTCATGTTCTGTTGTGTAATTCACATTGCTCTTCCCGCTGACAATCTCCTTTGTCACAATGCCGAAGCTATAAACATCCGCCTCTGTTAGGTAACCCCTCATTGCATATTCAGGAGCCATATATCCTCTGCAAGAAAGAACATCAAAATGGTTTTTGTTTCCACTTATTGAACATAGCATAGCATTATATAAACTTTACATTGTTCCTGTGATTCTGGTGCTAATGAGACTCTTCTCATCTTCGTGCAGTCGAGCCAATCCAAAATCTGAAATCTTAGCGTTAAGGTCCTTATCTAACAGTACATTCGTTCCTTCGATGTCTCGGTGAATGATCTTGACCGTTGATTCCTCATGAAGAAAGGCAAGTATTCTTTCCTGCAAACGAGTTTTCTACAGAGCTAAAGTCACCGTTTTGATCTGTTAAAAACTGGAATTGAAAAAAGTGACAGAAGCTTACCGAACAATGCACCAGAGAGACAATTGTTTTCCATGTATTCATAAACAAGAAGCAGATCGTTTTTCTCAGCACAGCATTCCATAAAGCTTTACAAGATTTGGATGCTGCAAACAAGCAATCATTCCGATCTCATTAACGAACTCTCTGTTTCCTTGCCCCTATCTTGAAGAGAGCTGTTTTACAGCAATCAGTGTTCCATCTGATAGCTTTCCCTGAAATTAGAATCATTCAGATTCTGAACCTGAAACCAGAATTACAAGAATTATTACAAAGACGAATGATTCTATTTATCAACCAAACTTATGTTAGTTAGTCTGAAGAAGCTTCACTTACTAGGACAAACTGTGATTGCAGAGATAAGAGATCAATAGTTCGCTCTACGTGGAATGATCGTCGTGCCTTTTCCTGCCCAATACATCGTATCTCTAACGAGTTATCTCTTACTGTTCTGTTCACTTCTCTTATAACTTCCTTGTGAGTTCCATTAGCCTCTTCTCTAATGCTAAAATCCTCCCAAATCAACTTCCCCTGCAAGTTGTTAGAACTTTCAAGAGCCGAAGGAAATGTTGAAAAAGGGTATCTTGAATGCTAATGTACCTGAACATAGATGTTAAAAAGCCTTTTTGCAAGTATACTGTAAGGTTCTTTGTCTGAGAACTGAATCTCGGCGAAATGCAGTTTCACATTGTAGCTTCCGTTCTCAATGCAAAAGGCATTGTAAGACATACTCAAGGGAGAACGGCGTGCTCTCTGATAAAGCTCGGGGTATTTCGCTAATACTAAAGATTCTGATGAAACCGAATAAGCGTCTTCTGTTGTTGCATCATCCATAAAGTCTGGTAGTATTGCTGAATCCCCAGTTGTTACCAAGATAATTTGTTGCAGAACTGTTTGTCCATAGTTATCTCCTTGGTAAATTATATATCCGCGCGAACTCTTTATAGTCACATCCTCTCCACTGCAGTTTATATGCAGTGACTTGCTACCTGCTTGTAGAGAATGAAGTGTCATTAAGATCTTCCTAGCTTATATTGAAAAATAAGACAGTTGAAACCGGTTAAGGGAACTTACAGTTCTGGCAATTGTTTGATCCAGAAGAAGCCGAGTTCTGTAAAAAGCAAAATGAGTAATAAAATGTAGATGCAGAGAATAATCTATTGAACTAATATGTTCTTACAGGAGGCTGTTTCTTGAATTTGAGCTCTTGTATGTGTTCACATTCCTGTGACCAGGAGCAAAAGTTTTAGGCTTCAGAAGTAAACAAAGATCAATGCTTTGCAAGATAATTTAAGAGCTTACACACTTTCTCTCTTTGCAGCCTGAAGACCATGTGAAGTTGTTGTAAGATAAATCACTGCAGGTATAATGAATGGTAAGTGAATTTAGTAGGTATTAAACAAATGAAGAAATCTGATAATGTTATAATGATAGCTGTACATATTGGTGCTTGCAGTGAGGAAGACTCCTGATTCGATATCGCCAGACAACATGTTTCCAGTTAAATATCTGAGTAATGAAAACAGAACACAGATTCTTAGTCAGAAAATGCCTTTGATCATGTTAAAAAAGAGAATGGAATTTACGTGTACTTTGGCGCGCTTGTATCTGTAGGTATTTATCCAGGCAGCCTATTAAACGATAGATCGCTACAATGGCGGAAATAACCAGCGTTTAAGAGACTTTAGCGACATGAAAACTCTGAAAACGCATAAGTAATGATACTTACAGAGTCATGAGATTGGGAAGTTCCCAGATATTAAATGGGATGGGACCTGATAAGTTCAAGTTCCCTGAAACAATTATCAGTATTACAACTTGTCTAGACTAGAGAAGTAAAGATGTGTACAATAAGAACATTGCTTACAGAAGCCGTAGGCTCTTGCTAGCTATTTGTGGAACATGGCCAAATCTTGCAGTTATGTCGCTGGTCCTCCTGTTTAGTAAAGAGGAAACATGTTTTTTTACTGAATCAATTTTCAAAAGATTAGAGGTGTTTATGACTTTATGTAAGAAGATTAACTTACAAATCATTCAAATTTTGTGAACGAAATATTGAATCTGGAACAGGTCTTTTAAGGCCGTTCGAGTATAGTTCTCTGGTTATAAAGGCGGTACAAGCTTCAGTAACTCTTGAAAACGCTGAAACAAGAAGATTAGTTCTCTTACAGTCTTTGAAGTTGTGACCAGCTCTGGGATGGATCCATTTCATTTCATTCTTTGATTGAAAAAAAAAAAAAAAAGTGATTCTATAGGCAACGCATACTTACAAGTGAGTGATGTGACAAGTTCTGTTGTTATTAAAACTACACAGTTACAACTGATTGTGCTGTTTTGACCTTCAAGGAGAACACTTTTGGTTATCACTAGAGTCTTTGTGAGACAAGGATAAGAGCTTCCACTGGATAAGACAAGTGAACAGAGGAAACAACATGAGTTCTTGTTGAATTTGTACTAATTTACAGAGATGATCAAGATCTCATGGTCATTACAGTAAAACCATTCAACCTTCATTTGGATGCAGAGCAAGAGCCCACAACGAACTCAATAATAAGGTCAGGCCCATTTTAAGCCCACCAAGTGAACCGGCAACCTCCGTCGGATAAGCCGACATCACGACGGTATCAAGCTGTGTTTTGGGAGACTGTGTTGTGTTGTCTCCTTTTTTAAGCTATGCGTAGATTTCTTCTTCATCAAGTTTTGTATCAATGGAATCATTATTACTAATCCCAAACCCTAGCCGACCGATTTCTAGACGACCAGACGCATTCTTTCACGACTGCTTCCCGCCAACCCACTACGACTTCCACCTCCTCAATTCGTCTCCCTCGGCTCCGCCACGCATGGATACGCCTCCGTCTTCCGAATCTTTTGGAATCTCAAGCACCACCGTGGACGAAATCGACGAGCCTTCTTTCGAAACAACTGAGTCAGGGAATGACCCATTTACGGAAAAAGGAGAGGACTTTGAAGTAGTCGACTCGTGTGTGGATACGGATTTGACTGATTCGGGTCGGGACCGGGTCGACCCGTTTAATTCCGGGTGGAATAGCATGGGCGGCGAGAAAGCGACCACCTTGAATGATGCCGGAGCTGAGGATTATGCTGAACCGGAGCTTACTTCTACGGATCGGTCTCTCCTTGGGTCATTGACCAGGCTTGTGATCAGGTCTGTCCAGTTTCAAGTGAGTTTGATGATTAGCTTGATTGGGTTTCCTCCATGGTTAGTTTATAGCTGCTTGGCCTTCGTTTTCGAACCTTATCGAACAATGAGGCGTGGTAGACGCTATTTACTATCGAAGATTGTTAAATTTTTTGATTTAGGGTTGGAAGATCATAAGTTCGTGGTGGAGCTTGTACGGAGGTTAGCTTGGGGTTTGTTTTGGGCTGTTTATGTGGGCATTGTGTTGTTTGCGTTGTTGGTTTCTGCGTTCATGATTAGTAGTTTTGTGATTACCCATTTGGCTCATGAACCACTTGTGATCAAAGAGAGCTTGAATTTCGATTACACCATGAATAGTCCAGAAGCATATGTGCCTATAATCTCGTGTGGTTCGAGTTGTAAGGAAAGTATCGAAACCGGGAAGATCAGAGGCTTTAAGGTTAACCCTTCAAATCACAGGACAGAGATCACTGTCTCCATGACATTACCTGAGTCCGAGTACAATAGAAATCTCGGGATGTTTCAGGTTCGGGTGGACTACTTATCCGCGAGTGGTCAAGTCCTTGCAAGTTCAAGGCGGCCGTGTATGGTAAGATTCAGAAGCGAGCCTATCCGTCTTGTCCAGACTTTCCTAAAGATTGCTCCGCTTGTCACGGGATATGTCTCTGAAATCCAAACTTTGAACTTGAAACTCAAAGGGTTTGTCGAAAAGGACATGATTCCCACTGCTTGCTTGAAGATAATGATTGAACAACGCGCAGAGTTTCTTCCTGCAGCAGGTATTCCAGAGATTTACGATGCGTCTCTGTTGCTCGAATCCGAACTTCCTTTCTTCAAAAGAATCATATGGAACTGGAGGAGAACTTTATTCGTCTGGATCAGCATGAGTTTGTTCATTACGGAACTGCTTTTTGTCTTAGTTTTCTTCAGACCTCTGATCATTCCAAGAACAGATCAGAGAAGACAACAAAGAGATAGAAGAATACCTTCCATCAACAATACTTCAAATCTGGATGTTCAGGTGGGAAGTAGATGAATCATTGGTTTGATGTAACTTGTAAATGTACTTACACTTCCTGCAACTTTAGTTTCCTCACAAAGTGCTTCTTCGACCAAAACTGTAATAAAATATTGCCTTGTAAGTTGTAATCAAAAGTCACATTGTCCGTAATCAAAGTCGCACACTGATACCGAATTCTAATTTGATTTATAGGTGAAACAAATTATGTGTGCGCGGTATGTTAGGAAATAACGTCAAATTTCTGATAAATCAGATTCGCAGGAACGATAAAAAAATACACACAATTTGTTAACGGAGTTCGGCCAATGTTGCCTACGTCTCCGGACCTGCTGCATATCTTTTCTTATTAACCGGGAAAAAATTACACCACTCTCAACTCACACCCAAAACTCAATTACACGCACCAAGAAAAAATAATTTTTTTTTCTTCTCTCATGTTTCTTTTTTTCTTCAGATTTTTGGGATGCTTCCTCTCAAAGAGAAGCTCACGTATTTATAGCACATTGGAGGAGGGTTGGTGAAGTGTGAATGAGTGAACCAAAATTGTTGAAGCAAAATCAACCTCCATTTTTGACTCATTTCACCAACCATGGTCAACAATCTCCCACTTGAAGACTGATTTAAATCTGTCTTCACACCATGATCAATGCAGGAGGTCTTCTCCGCTTGTTACTCTAACAAGCCAACTGAGGTCGTACATAACCTCAGTTTCTCATA